CGCACCTTGACTTCGTGTACACAGCAGAAACTCACTCGTTATATACTACAGGCGGCAGGCAGCACCGTTGCTCTGGTAGCTTGCTTTATCGGTAGTCATTTCCCATTCCGCTGGCAACAATGAACATTCCTGATGTGCAGCGCTTGTCGAATTCGAGTTTGCCAACCAAGCCCGACGACTACCATGAACTGAAGACTCCTGATATCCAAGAGCTTGAAGATGGAGCCATTCGTCTAGGAGACCCACCCGACATTTACAGCTGGAGCAACATCGGCCTGATGGCCCAATACGCTGCTGTCGGTGTAGTCTACGGCACCATGTACAGCGTGATCTACCCTTTCTTGACGAACTACCTCCGCATGTCTGGGAATGAGACCACGTCCGCCAGTGTCCTGATCACACTGCCCTACACTCTCAAGGTTTTTATTGGCATCGTGACAGATTGCTACCCGATCTTCGGCTTTCGGCGTAGGCCGTACATGCTCCTCGGTTGGGCCGTGTGTTTTATTTCGCTAGTCGTAATGACCGTCATGCCCATCGGTGATCCGTACTACCCGGACTCCAGCTGGGCGTTGATGACGCCTCTTACTGCTGAGCAGACAGCGCAGCTCAACACCGACGCGCAACATTCGGGTGTCAAGTACATTTTCCTCATGGTCATCGCCAACCTGGGTAGCGTTGTGGCCTTCACGGCTTCGGATGGAATCCTCGTGGAACTCGCTCAGCGAGAGCCTTTAAAGACCCGTGGTGCTTTGCAAGCCATAGTGTATGCAGTACAGTACTCATTCCACATCATATCGCAAGCGATGGTTGGCTTCGGACTCAACGGTGCTGACTACGGTGGTACGTTTTCGGGTTCCATGGGCTTCAACGCCGTCATGGGCGTCTGTGCTGTCTTCTCGCTAGTCGTGATGCCCTTCTCGTGGTTCTGCATCACAGAAGAGAAGACTCACCGTCGCTCGGCACAGAAATACCTCTACGCTCTGTACGAGCTGATCCAGCAGCGCGTGGTGTACCAAATCGTCATCTTCCGTTTCTGCCGCAACGTCTTCTCCTACGTGTCCGTGACGGCGTCATTTCTCATCCAAAGCTACTGGTTGACGGTGACTCCAGTGAACAATAGTGTGGCTTCAATCATCGGCTTGATAGTGTCGGCTGGCTCGCTGTATCTGACCAAACAGGTTGGACTCAACTGGAACTGGCGATACATGATCGCCATCTCTCAGATCTCTGTGATCGTCATCGATGTCTTCCCTACTTTCTTCACCATTTGGGACGTCTACCGTATTCAATGGTTCTGGCTTGGAGTGCCACTAGTTGAGAATCTCCCAAATGCGATTGGAACAATCGTCGCGACGTTTGCAGTACTGGAGATAATCGAGGAGGGTAACGAGGCCACGGTGTACGGTCTAATCACCGCCGTATCCACACTGGCGTCTCCGTTTGCTAGCGTCATTACCAAGAGTATCGACGGCCATTTCGACGTTGAAACAGAATTTATTCAGCTGGACAATTCGTATGTCCGTTCGCAGGTGACGTACACGTATCTCATCGCCTACGCGTTCAAGCTTTTCTCGCTTGTGTTCCTCGTGCTGCTACCCAAACAGAAGATTGAAACACAGGAGCTCAAACGAACTATCGGTAAGAACAAGTGGATCGGAATCGGTACAATCATTGTCGTAGCGTTTTCCTTGGTCTGGTCTGTTATGACAAACATCATGACGATGTTTGACAGCACCTCCTGTCTGAGGATAAGATAGAATCACTACAGTTGATTAAACCCACACTGTTATGGTGGTGTTGGCCACTGACAGGAAGAGCAGCACACTACTAATTTAGGAGCCGACACGCACGGTAGTCAAACCCTGATCATATGCGCGGAGCACCTGCAAAGAGGACTTCTACACCAACTCAAATGAAGATACCACCAACATGGATCCGCCATTATATGTAGAGGTTTATACACAGCGTGCATTGACGGCTCCATAGCACTTTGAAGCAATCATAACTGGAGGTATTTCTATGATTGTAGTCGTCACTACAGAGCTTTAGGAAGTTGGATCATTTGAAAAAGGCTAGGTAATGCTTGTATGACGTCAAATACAAAGATGGTCCGTGCCCACTCAGCAAGTTTGCTAAGTTTCACACAATTTTTTGCAGCACAGAATTACGTGTACATGCACTATGGCTGTGTGATCATGTAGGTTGTGTCGTGAGCCGCAATGACGATCCAGAACCTGTACCCGCCTATAGTTCGACAGTATGAGTAAATACTGAGGCATTCTAGTTACGTA